TAGTGTTAAGATTTGCTTTATATCCTCGTTAGGATCTCCCCATAACATTTTTGTATTCATCCCAGTCCCCTCGCTATTTTTATACCCTTCACCGCACTGTGGTTTATGGTATTATGTCTTTGTGCATATGTTTGTAACAGGCAAAAGGAAACGAGATAGATACATGGTTCCTTTTGAGAATATGCATAAAATCACTTTCTCAGTTTATGCTTGTTTATGATTTATGCATGTCCGTCCGTCTGTAGGTGTTAAATTATAAACAAAGTACAGGTCGCATTTCTAATCCGATTTGGATGAAATTTGGCACAAGTCACTTATTTCTCCCAGGTACGAACCCTATTGAAATTAGGAAAAATCGGTTCAGATTTAGATATAGCTCCCGTATATACTTTCGTCCGATTTAAGGTAAAAAGGACACCATAGTCCCTTTATATATTTCGATTTGCACTAAATTTGGCATAGAGCACTGAATTAGGTCCCGAATGCTGAGTGCCAAGTTTCGTGAAAACTGGTTCAGATTTAGATATAGCTCCCGTATATAGTTTCGTCCGGTTTAAGGTAAAAGGTGCACCAAAGTCCCTATATATCTTTCGATTTGCACGAAATGTTGCATAGTGCACTGAATTGAGTCTAGAATGATGTGTGCAATGTTTCATGAAAATCGGTTCATATTTAGATATAGCTTCTATATATATTTTCGTCCGATTTATTGTAAATTGGGCACCAAATTCCCTATACAACTTTCGATTTGCACGAAATTTGGCATAGGGTACTGAATTAGGTCCAGAATGATGTGTGCCAAGTTTCGAGAAAATCGGTTCAGATTTAGATGTAGTTACCATACATAGTTTTGTCCGATTAAAGGTAAAAGGGGCACCAAAGTCCCTATATATCTTTCGACGCGTAATTTTGCATATTGTTATGAATTAAGTCTAGAATGACATGTGTCAAGTTTCGAGAAAATCGGGTCATATTTGTATATAACTCCCATATAAATTTTCGTCCGATTTAAGGTAAATGGGACGCCAAAGTCCCTATATATCTTTCGATTGGCGCGGAATTTTGCATATTGTACTGAATTAGGTCCAGAATGATGTGTGCTAAGTTTCGTGAAAATCGGTTCAGATTTTGATATAGCTCCCATATATATTTTCGTCCGATTTAATGTAAATTGTGCACTAAAGACGCAACGTTTGGCCGACTGTACAATTTTGTAAAGTCCGACTTTACTACTTCCCTTACTGGAGAATTTCATTTGTAATTCCTAGAATACCTTTCGAAATTCATAGAATTCCATTTGAAATTCATAAACTTCCATTCGAAATTCCAAATATTTGCGTTTGAAATTCATGAAATTCCACTTGAAATTAATAAAATTCCATTTAAAATTTAAATAATTCCATTTGAAATTCTTAACACTTGATTTGAAATACATAACATTCCATTTGTTTTTCATAGCACTTAATTTTAAATTCGAAAAATATTATTGGTAACACAAAAGGAATATGTATGAATTGTTATAAATTATAACTGAAATTTTATGAATTACAAGTGAAATGTTATGAATTTCAAATTGGATTCTTTGAATTTCAAATGGATTTCTTTGAATTTCAAATGAAACTCTACGAAATTCAAATTGAAATATTCGAATTACGAATGAAATTTTTTAAATTTCAAATGTAATTTTTTGAATTTCATACGAAAAGTTTAAAATTACAAATGAAATGTTGTGAATTACAAATTACATACTCGAATTACAAATGAAATTTTATGAATTGCAAATTGAGTTTTCGAATTACAAATGAAATTCTCGAATTGCAATTGAAATGTTTTGAATAACATTTGAAAAATGTGTAGTGTTCCGCTATCCTATGAGTGCCTGTCTGATATTATAATTCCACATGTGACTACTCTTATTTCAGGTATTCGGTCCGAATCAAACTTACTAATTGTTGTCTGCAATATATTTTGATGCGGTATATTGTGTCCGGTATCGATCCATAGCTTTAAGTCTTAAAGCTGCGATGGCCGCTTCATATCTTATTTGGATGTCAATTGGATGTATATACAATATAGTCTCCAAAGCTCTTGTCGGTGTTGCTTCATTGCCCCGCATATACCTACGCAGCATTTTCTCTTGTAAAAAAATTACATTACATTTTCTGTCCATTGCTGTCCACCAGTCTACCGAGGCGTATGTTAGAATTGGAATTAATTAAGACCATGGCCTATAAATAAGTTTTATTAGGTTACGAATTCATGCCTTAGTCTTATCTTGCTGGAATTAATTAAGGCCATGGCCTATAAATAAGTTTTATTAGGTTACGAATTCATGCCTTAGTCTTATCTTGCTGTCAAAATATCTTTCAATATTTATACTGTCAGTATTATGGCTAATGAGGGTATATACACTTTCATGGTCAAATAGGTGCCTGATTGAAATCTTGGTTTTAGGCTCCATGTTTTTTAAATCAAACCTGTTTCAGAAAAGTTGGTGTCGGTTTACAAATGTCCATGCGTCTGTATGTATATTTCTTCCAAACTTTGTGGTCCACTCCTTCTGGTACCTACCCCCACGAAATGGTAAGAATTGTCCAAAAATTAATTTTATATTATCATGCGAACAGACTATCCTATTTGAACCAAACTTTGCATAACCTACTATCATTACAAAGTCTAGATCAAGCCTGAAGATCCATTGGTCCATCCATTAATTCAATATTAGGCGAAAGGAATGTCCGATTTTAACCAAACTTTGAACAACCTATTACCAAGGCTAGATCAAGTGCGAAAATGGGACGCATTGGTCTGCTCCTTCTGTTACCTCCCCCACAAATGGTCAATATTTTCAATATTAACAAATGCAATATTAGGGAAAGGAATGTCTGATTATTACCAAACTTTGTACAACCTATTATCTTTACCACGACCCACAAAGGGTCAACATTTTCAATATTTATAAATAGTATACAATATCAGGCGAAGGAAATGTCCGACTTGAACCAAACATTCCCCAATGTATTATCTTTATCAAGCCTAGATTAAGTGCGAAGGTGGGATTGTCGAATCGTTAATTGATTCTGTCTGAAATTTTGTACATCTTGGCACAATTGTCCGAACAACTCGACTTTTTGTACAGGCTACCATATTTAATTTAGTGTGTTTTGTTTCAAATTTGGGTTTAATGAGCTCATGAAATCCAAATCTTAATCCTGCTATACATATACATATACAATTTAATTAAGTAAGGAAGGGCGTAACTCGAATGTATATTTTCGCCCGATTTCACGAAAATAGTGTATGATTAAATTTACCATGGGCGGCATATTTTAGTCCAAAAAGATATGAGTCAAGTTTAGTTAGTAGTTGAAGTCCAGATTTTGATATAGCTCCAATAAATAATTTGATTTTAAGTAACTCGTGTATTAAAGACGCTTTGTCCGCCCGATCAATGTGAAATTTTCAACATACAATCAAAATAAGTGTAGAAGAACGTTTGTCTTGATTGAAGTCCGTTCAGATGTATATATATATATATAGTTTCGATTAATTTAGTGTACAAATCATGCTAAATTCGCATTTGTCATATAAATCTTAAAAGCACCTCTACCACCTGGCTGTTGTCGGTTTTTTTATTGGTATTGCTAATATGAACATTTTCAGCCGATTTTGCCTTAAATCCATGACAACGTATAATCCGTTCATATTATTCCTCACTAATATAGCAATGGAAATATCAAAAAAATATTTAAACTTGCATGCCATATGTATCAAAATACATCCCATCTTTTACATAATGCATCGTATTTAACGATGTAAATCAGCCCTCTTCTGAAAATTTGTCTTTATATTTTTTTTATTCTTCATAACTATACACATATAATACAACAAACAAATATTTGTTACGCAACCTTGATCCACATATATGACGTTTTCATATCTACGTTTTTAATTAGCAAAGAAATTACGTGTGTTTTTAAACCCCCAATATACAAGTACCGTAGGTGTTAACTGTAATGGCAAGTAAATACGTAAATTAATTAGCCAAAGGAACTTCGAGCTAACTTCATGTTCGTCCTGGGAAAAATATTTTGTCATTAAAACACAAATGCATGTTAATTTGTGACAAATACTTTTATAAGAACAAATGTACAATGTGTTTTTAGTTTGGAAAAAAAAATTACTAGTTTTTGAATATGAAACTCATAATTGAGCTTCGTTTATGCAATTAAATTTTATAATGACACCAATTAAAAAAGGTATTGTTTTGTTCGAGGATTAGCACAACACACAGAGTTTCTTTTAACAGAATTGCTATAAAAGCAAAGTTGTTGTGTTTTAGGAAATTAATTTAAATTAGGTATGTAAATATAAAAAATATTCGAAAACATGTATCATGAAAGATTTTGCCCAACAAGTTTTTCTAAGTTCCTATTCTATGATGAATCGCAATCTCTTCCTTCTAAATGAGAGTCATATGTTAACAGAGTGAATTAGTGCTAGTATTCCTTTAGCCCATGGGGCATTCCGTCTGTTTATTGAGGATCCTTTAGTAGTTTTTATACAATATATTTTCCAAAACCCTGGTTCTTCGTACTCTCTTACTTTTGTATTTATTATCATCAAGAGATATATCATATTGCAATCAATGAAATGCAATTGATTCAAAATAAGAAAACAATAAAATTATTTTTTACAAAGTCTAAAAAATTTTATTTCTAAATAACCAAATGGATTTTAAAATACTGAATCTGAGTTCCACATGCCACTTTATTTTACATATTGGGTTCTCATTGAGTAGAAACAATAAGATATCAATATCGGTGATATATTTTTTTTTTATATTTTTTTACTAAATTTTTTTGAAAGCAAATAAGCAACTTCATTTTTGTTTTTTAACATAACTCAGAACTTATCATATGAACAATTTCCTAATTAATTATGAAATATGATGAAATTTTAGAAACCTGAATAATGTAATCAAATATCTATCATTTCAGGTACTCGGTATACTGGCTGTCGTGGCAAGTGTCTTTGAATTGCAAAAATATTCCTATGGAACTCCAGATTTTACCGAGAAACTCGTTAACATTGGCATAAGTTCGGTTTTGGTGATATCGGCCTTTGTTGGATGTTGTGCGGCGGTTAACGGCTCCGTCAAGATGTTGGTGAGCGTAAGTATTCGCCATGAAATCCAAAGTATCTGCCGATTATAAGGATGTATTAACCAATGTGGACAACCCAGTTCATTGTTATTTTATTGGCTTTGGTAGCTTCTCATGTCTGGTGTCTGTGGCGTTACGACGAAGAACGGGTGCGTATTTCAACAACAAATATGGTCAACTACTATTGGATAGCGGAGACACACGAACAGGGTTACATGGATATTTTGCAGGAAACGGTAAGTTATACTAATTGAAAAATATATATATATTAATTGATCAAGTTAATTGCTCAAAAATGTCTATCTGTCCATCCATAGTACGAATGCTGTGGAAAAGTTGGTTATTTGGATTACCTACATAATAGTATGACAGTTCCCGACAGCTGCTACTTCTTCCACAACAATAAAAGGGAATTTTATCCCCACGGCAAGGGCTGTTTGCCAGCCGTATTGGATGCATATCTGAACATATATCGAACTGAGAAATGGACTCATGTCGGCCTAATGGGATTTGAAGTAAGTGCTTTGGGAGAACATAGTTTGAAAATAAAAAATTGAACGTTTTCATAACCGTTTCAGGGTTTTGGCATCATGCTGTCTATAGTTCTGATATTTAATTTGACAGCCGATACACGCCGTTACAATTACTAGAATTCCTATCCATTCGCAGCTCTAGTAGTAAACCATTATATTATAGTTAGACTAAAAGAAATATATACATTTATGAATGTTTGTGCCAACAAATGCACTTCAATTTGGTTATTATTCCACTTAAAATACAATCAACGTTCGGTATAACGAATGATATGTTGTTGATTTTAATGTTGATCTAATCGGTTATCCAATTTGCAAATTTATGACATTGACTCTTTGTAGGAGTTGTACCAGAAAAGAGAGCAGACGAGTCCAACCTTCCGACTTGATTTAGGCTCGGTATAGATAATAGGTTGTGCAAAGTTTGCTTCAAATCGAACATTCCACTCACCTGATATTGGATCTAATGTTGAAAATGTTGGCCCCTTGTGGAGGAGGTACCAGAAGGAGTCCCATCTTCAAACTTCATCTAGCCTTGGTAAAGATAATAGGTTGTGCAAAATTTTGCGGCGAACGACTAAAATACGCTCACGGCAAGTATTCGATTGTTTTCAATACGAACAATTCACGAACGATAAAACTTCGCAGCAAGCGTAGTCGATTCGATCTTTCGCGACCTTTTGTTGCTGAAGAGCATTCATTTGAAAAACAAAAAATGTTCGCGAATGCTCGTGAGCGCTCTTAAAAACCATAACAAACAAAAAGATCATAAAAAAATAAACTCACACAGCGAATGAATGTGTGTATAAAAAAAGTGTTGGGCTTGTATGGAATAACGAAACACATGCACAACAACAACTATTGAGTTCTTGAATGTTTGTTGTTATTATTGTTGCTGTTTTGAGCATTCGCGAATGTTTGATTTCATTCGTGAGCGAATGTCAGAAAGTATTTCAACCACCAAACGAAAAGAAAGATCGTTGTTGTGTGCACTCACTCGTTTGATAAAGAATTTATCGCGATAAATTCATTCGTAAAAAGAGCCCAAAACGAAAAAAGGTATTTTGAATCATTCGCGAGCGAATTTTGCGCACCCTGGCGAAAACAATCGTGGTTAAAGAGCGGTGAAGGACCTCAAATGGCAGTTAAACCAGGACTAACGGACAGGAAGGTTCTGCTTTGGTGGGACTGGAAGGAGATTATTTATTAGAGTTGCTACCAAATGGCCAAAATGTGAAGATAGCAATTTACCAGAAACTGCCAGAATATGCCAACAGGAGAGGTGTCGTGTTCCACCAGGACAACGCTAGGCCACACACATCTACCGTGACTCGCCAGAAACTTCGGGAACTTGGTTGGGAAGTTTTAATGCATATGCCATACAGACCAGACTTGGCACCAAGCGATTATATTTTTTTTCTTGGATTGAAACATTTTTTTAATGAAAAAACATTGGTATCTATGGTGGATTGTGAAAATCGACTACTAAAGTTTTTTGCAAATAGAGAGCAGGACTTCTATGAGAGAGCGCATTATGAAGTTACTTTTAAAATGACAACAAATCATACAAAAATTGTACATTTGAACTATAGGACTTTATTTAATATGCTTCGGACATTCCGATAGTTCATATAAAAATAATTGATTTCTTTTCCCCCAACCTAATATGTCGCTAAAATTGTTGGACGATTCTATCCGGCTCAAGTAAGCCTGAAGAATTTTAAAAGAATGAAGAATATAAAAAGATTTTAACTGTAGCTCTGTGTAATAACTCGTTCGTAGTCTGCGGTATCCTCAAAACCGCAATACTTTAGTAAAAATACTGAAATACATCACAGCAAAATCAAACAGTATTATTATTCATTCGTGAAGATAAGTTGTAGCAGCAATAGCTTTGAAGAAATACATGGCAAAATGATATTTTCAAATTCTACTATCAAATTTGTTTTGATTATAGTTAATTGTTTTAATATAGTAAGTATTCATTTATAAACTGTACAAAAATACATATTTCTAAAATAAATTCATTTCAAAGTTTGCTGCAATCATTCACATCGTGGTGACAATTCTCAATTACAAAAATGCCCCAGAAGTGGAAAGTATGGTCATGAATTATGTCTGCATGTTGATGTCGGGTGTCTGCAGTGCGGCCGCATTCATTGAATCTACTATTGTACTGGAAATAGTAAGAAGCAAATTTATTGCATCTAGAATTTTTTTTTAAATATTTGTGTTTCATTTTCACAGCTGGCCACTGCATTTCTGTGCGAAATAATGGCGACATCAATTCTATGGATTTACGCTGTCAAATTCTTCTGTATCTACACTTTAACACAAATGGTAAGTTTTGAGTTGTGATTTCAGTAAAACGGTTTGGACATAGTCTAAAAATGTTGATTATTATTTTGTCGAAAATCTATATTTAATATACAAATTGAGGCTCTATATATCCATCAACAAAAAACATACCCAATTGTAGTCATCTTGGAAGTAATGTTAATGATTATGTTAATTGATTCTTACGTTTCATAAATACATTAATTGTCACACATACATTTTTTTTTATTTATTTTATTTATTTATATTTTATTTTGTAAAAAAAGCCTAAAGGCCAATGAGATTTAGAATATGCATGAACTTATAGTACCTACTCCAGATTATGACAATAATAATTTAGATATATTTACCATATAATTACAATTAATAATATTTGATTTTTTGTAGATAACAAACAATTTTATAAAGCAGAAAAAATTTAGTTCTCAGTTTAATTGAAGATGCCGCAAAATGCGCTTCCGAAAGGTTGAAATAGATGTACAAAAAGTTTTTAAGTTATTGGGAAGGGCATTAAAGAGACGAGAAACCCTTTAACATTTAAACATTTAACTAATTTTTACATTTTTCCTACAGGTATTACATGGTATTATAGCGGTCCTAACTTATTTACTAATTCATCGATTACGTAAAGAGGATCTGGGAAAGATGATTAAATCTATGATGACACCGGCCATGATGCCATTGAATCCACAAGGAAGCCAATTGCTCAGAGTAAACGCTGCCGAGAACCAATATTGTTCTGTTGAATAATAACCTCTCGAACATCATCATTATTGCGGTTATTAATAGGCTGATGATGTCTTCGTCTATATATAAGGATACAAAAAACAATCGAATAGAGAAGTGTAAATGCCTAAAAGAAAATAGCAATAAAAATATAATTTATTAATTTTTTAATTGTGGCAATCATACTTCAGCCGCAAGCAAAGCCCAATAGAAAAACTGTTGACGACGTGTCGTATAGATGTGAGACTTCCAGTGAGCATCCAAACAACCCGTATGATGTCCTACCATGCTTCCGTCAGCATTTAAACAACTATCGGGTATTGGTAAATGTTTGAAGGCATAATCTTGTTCATTGAACAGGCCGCAGCAGTTTAGCTGAAACAAAATTAGAATACCAATTATTAATTTAATCAAATCCCAACCGACTGGAGTTACATACCCGTCTTTGTATTTTATCCATGGGTTCAGGATTAGTTCCAACCAAACGCCATGCAGTCTCCAAGCCTTGCAATGTATGAAAGTAAATTCCGTGTGGTTGAAAAGAACGTATTTGAAGATATTCTATAATTAGTAGAGATAGCATAAAAATAGAATACTGTAAATAAATATTAGTAGTTATTAATTAGATATTTATATTGGGCATTCATATGTGTTGGTACTTACAATGACATTTACGCCCAATATTTCACTACATACTCCGTAACAACCAATTAATGTGGTCATTATTAACAGACCGCATAGTAGAATGCCTAGAATGAAAAATGCGTGTTCATCGGTTCCAGGAGTTGAATACTTTACGCCCAATCCATTAATAATTAGGTTAGCAAATGCTATTAACTTAAAACATAAAAGAAATAATTAAAAAAAAATATTACCTCAACTCGGCCACCTTTATTAAAAACTCCACAGTCAACAGCATTTATAAAATTATAGTAATGACTGTAGGCAGTTATAAAAAAATTGGCCTTAATCAGTAGAATTTTTCTCTACAACAATTCCTAAATTAATTACAACCAATTATAACCTTCGAGAGATATATATACAAAAAAAAACATATTTCTAATTATTCGAATTGAATATTGCACACAATCTTTTAAAAAATACAGCATGGTATAATAAGGAAGGTAGTCTAGTGCACTCATATGTTCATTTTTTTACTGTACCTTCATTGTCAAAGATTATAATTTTTATTTCCTCCATAGTAAACTACTTACTGCTGAAGGCAAAATAATAAACCTCTCATAGAGTGAAAATTTATAAAAGATCGAAAACCGGAAAATTAATTGTATGGGGGTTTGGTATTTATAAGGCCCATCTTCGAGCCTGAGAGTAAACATAGACCCAGGTGGAACAACCGATCATGACTAAATTATAGTTGTGGATTATGCAAATATTAAATAAATTTTGGACATAAAGGCGAAAACGCGATAGGTAGAACCTTTAAAATGTGTATATTTGGGTTTTACCAAATGTTTCCTTAAAGTTGTACGGTTTACATTCGTTATTCTTTACACCTGTATTTCACCGGCTCTCTGTAAACCTTTATCGACAGGTGTGGAAATTGGATCGTACGTACGTAATGGAAGGTCTTGTGTAGCTATACAATCCAGAACATCTTCTACGAGGAAATTATGAAAATTGGAGTACATTTGTACTTGGGGAACATTGAAAAAAGTGTTGTCAATCGCCAGACCCATAACAGCCAGTACATTGAGCGACAATGTACTTGACTGGTGAGAAACACATAAAATCTTAATGCTGAGTTAAAGTGAGTACAATTTTCATCCTCAAAAAATGTACTTCGTAGTGAAAATGGGAACAAAGCCTATAAGCTGAAATGATTAAACCGTGTGATATTATTCACTTCCAATTCGCTCCGCCAACAAAGTCTACCATCCGGAACAATCACATTTTATTTTTTGGGCAGTTGGGTTCATATCGACGATTCCGGTTTTGAAAACAATTGTATCAGATGACTTCCTGTTAGGAATCAAATGTTCCAAAGCGAATTTAAACACTTGTTGGGGCTCAACTATGATAAGTAGTTGACAAAAATTGAAGAAATACTAGTACAGATAATTACAGGAATATTTGTTTTTAACTAGTTACACAATTACATTACAATAGAGTCAATGGGCAGGTGTCTTATTTATCCATGCCAATCACCATACATTTCATTTCGTTCGAATATAACCATTTACAAAGTATAATAATAATATCATCACTTAAAAAATCCAAACTCACCAAGCAGATTTTATTAAAAGCAAAAACAAACCCCTTTACAGTATTAAAACAAGCACCCATATTTAGATTCTGTGGGCTCTTTGGCTGATGTATAACAACAACTAAAGTCTTGCTTTCAACATCCGTAGCAGTGGATCGAAATAATTTCTTAATTATCGAACAGACAAGTCATTTGCAGCAGCGACAATACGAATTTCGAGATAATAATGCAAAAATTAAAAGACATGATAACGAAAAGAAGAGAAAGTACGTCTCGACCTTTATTATGATTACACAGTAAACATAAGATGATTCAAAATATAAAAACATCAATATTGAGTTCATTAGACTTTTTATTTTTATTTATTAAATTAAACTTTAACTTAGAATGTTATACCTAATGCTTTTTTATATAGTATATGTTTTCAATTGAGACAGTATAAAAATAACAAAATACATAAAATAACATGAATTTTCCTTAAAATTAAATAGTTTTATTTTCATTAGGAATTAAAAATGACAATTTCAAGTAGTTCCTTCAAATTTATAAACGTAATAAAAATCTGTAAAGTTATATATTAGATAAATTTTGAACTTATAAGTAGCAAATATTGAGGATAACTTTATTTTTTAAGAATTTCAAAAAATATTTGGGGATTTCATATTCTAAAGATTTCTGAACCTCTATATTAACTTAATTATCAAATGATTGCAATAAATAAGTGATGAAAACAAGATTGTAGTAGAGGAACTAGAATTGAGTGATTATTTTTCTTTTAATCATTGTTGAATGTAAATATCGGATATTTCATATGTATGTAAATATTGGGTAATTCATGTAAACTAATGTTTTATTAAAAAGGACAGTTTTAAAAAGTTAAAATTGTTTTCAAATTTTATATTATTTTTTACTTATAGCTTTCTTTTAAATATGACAACGGTGGAAATTATTTTTTTAATGTTATGAAATTGTCGTTTTTTTATAAAAAATTTATTTTATTTCTTATAAATCATTCACTCGGTTTAGTACATCCTATGTATGTAAAAAATTGAAATTAAAAAAATATCACATTTAGTATTCGTCGGTGTTTCAAAATTTGAATAAGTTTTGTGGGATAATGGTATTTCTTAAATATAAGATTATCTACTATTCACTAATTGCACATCAATTAATTGAATTTGTTTCTAAAATATTCGTATTCATCTATGCTTATTTACAATGTTTCACGTTGACAATGTTTTGTCATGTTTCACCAGTTCAGGGTGGTCTTACATTTTCCATGGCAGTGGTATAAGACCCCATTTTTGGGTTATGTCCTTAAAACTACATTCAATTGCCAATACAACCTTTTCCGATTTGTGATTTCTGGCTGATTGAGCTGATTTCAGTGTTAAACACAATTTGTTGTCTCTGTGAGTGATATGTTGGGTCTAGAAAAAAGTAGAAAACGTTTGTAAAAAGATTAATATTTATAATATAATAATTACTTTCAATTATTATATTATAAACGTAAAAGTAGTAGTTAGGTAAACGTAAAAGTAGTAGTATAATAATATCCTCCTTATTAAATCAATATTTTTTAAACTTGCGTACACCAATCATTAATGACAATGGTTTTTAAACGGGTATATTCCAGTTATTATCAAGTCTTGTCGAGTAAAGATACCAGATTCTATGATAGCTCTTGGTAGAGTCTCTGGACACTAATTTTTTGCGTGATTGTGATGGACCTATGACAATAATTCGCGTCATTATTTGTTCATCTTTTTTTTCTATACACATCAAGTCTTTTCGAGTAAAGATATCAGATTCTATGACTGCTCTTGGTAGAGTCTCTGGACACTAATTTTTTTGCGTGATTGTGATGGACCTATGACAATAATCCGCTTCATTATTTGTTCATCTTCATAAATTTTAACCTTAATCAATTCAGGGTTTTGTTTATATTAAATACGATTCCTAAATTTCATGGAAGTTTTCTACCGACCGTTAGAAACAAGACGTACCAGATTGAATGTTGCAAAATAAGGAATCAATGAAATCATAGGTGATACAATACAAACATTTCATCACAATGTCTTCCTACTTACATCCATATCGTAATCCCATAATTGACGAGAATCATTAGCGCATAATGCCAACTGGACATTCGATGTTGTAGCATTGCGATTTTTCAGCATTTTTATTGTGCTCTGCTTCGGTTCGCTATATGTCAAACAAACATTGTTGTTTGTCATAATCTTGCCCGTTGGTGTTATAACAAAAATATCCATCGTTTGTGAATGGGCATTGCAATCGCCGACTGTTACCGGCTGTGCCGATTGACGTGGTGCATCTTCTTTGGCTGGCCTCAAACACTTATCTCTATCCAAATCGATGAGTGACATAAATTCTTCAGCATTACTTTCTATCTCATTAAATACACGTGGCCATTCACGTGATATACGACGACCAGGAATATTTTTCATATAATTTGCAAATGCTTGTGCACATTCAGTTTCTCCATCTAACCAAATGATTTTACCAAAGAAACGATCCGGAGCTGGGAAGAAATGATCAGGCCAGACTGTATTCAAATACCATGAAAACGGTTTGCATTGCAGTTTTTCCCTCAAAGCTAATCGTTTGGTGACATCGACTTTTTCACGTGTTGCCATAGATAGGCCATCGGTATACAAAAGAGTAAAATACTGCCACTCATCCATCCAGACCATAGCAGCACGTGCTAAATTCTGTCCAAGAACTTCACTCATACCTCCGGGGAATGTGTAGGGCGTACTGCTGCGGAATACGTGGCCAACATGAGAACAAGGGCTTATTTCAATGCTGCCACCACATTGCCAAATGCGGAAGGACATTTCTACATTTTCACCACCCCAAATCTATAAAAAAAGAAAAGAAAACCAATCAAATTTGATTAATAGAAGACATACATTGCAAATGATTGAAATTAACCTTCATTTCCTCGTCATAGGCTCCAATCTCGTAAAAATATTTGCGATCAATGGCAAATAGACCACCGGCCATACCAGGTGTCATTATGGGTTTTGTGGGATGTTTTCTTAGCGACGGACGATCACTGGCAAACCAACGGAAACTCAATTGCCAATTGAAGGCACCCCAATGATTTTCAAATGTTTTCGTATAACTGAAATTGTCGTCGGATATAATATCGATAACGGGACATATAACCGTGGTACGCGATTCTCTAATGCGATGCAGTAAAGGTTCTATCCAACCTCTCGAACACTCACAATGGGCATCGAGGAATGTCAGAACATCACCACGAGCATGTTTGGCACCCATCAATCGAGCTGGCACAAGACCGCCTCGTTCAGCCATGCGATAAATGCGTGTAGGAACAGATAAGACCTTGACATAGCTTTCCAATTGTTTCTTCAAATAACCTGGAAAGTGTTAACAATTATTAGAGATAAAAATATTAAATATGTATCTAAATAACATACTTCTATCACTGGCATCATCAACCAAAATGATTTCCTTAAGTATCCTTCGGGGAGTACGATTTATTACACTGGTAATTGTTCTCAGCAGAACGGACCAGGCTTCATTGTGGAATACAATAATAACGGATGCTGTGGGCATATCATCAAGGTTATATTTTTCATCACGACATCTGGAAATCAAAAAAAAATAAAAATAATTAAATTAGTTATATCTGAATTTATTGTTTCAATGACAATATATTGAAATACAACAAAACAAACAGGGGGAAATGGTATTCAGCAAAACTTGTTGGTTTTAATGGAAGGAGTAATTTTCTATTCAACATGAGGAGAAATTAAAATACATTCTGAATCCCAGTTGAATCAATAACAGCCATATTAATAAAAAAATTAACCCAAACCGATATTCTCTGTATCTACCAATTTTACTGCCCATATTAAGCTCTTAATCCGTTTTTCGAAATTGTGAAAATTTGTGTAAAGGTACCTGGGATACCGCCGCTATTTGCACTTAATCTATAAAAAATTGGAACAAATTGTTATATCCTTCCCCACACTGTAGTACTCGGTATTATGTATTTATGCATATTATCAAATTTAGATGTATCTCCCATATATAGTTTCGTCCGATTTTATGTAAATGGTGCACCAAACTACCAAGGATTGGCCGACTGAGACAAAATTTTTCACAGTTAGGTCCAGATTTGGTCCATCTCCACTTTTGTTGAAATCGCTTCTGATTTATATAAAGCTCACAAGTATTTTTTTTTTTTGTAAATGGTGCACCAAAGAGGTTATGTTTCCTCCATTTTTACAAAATTTGGAAGAAGTGAGTTTAGAGTGATGTGTTTTTTGTTATTTCGATGTAGTAGAAATGTTTTATACCCTACGCTTCTACTACCTACTACCCAGAATACAACAATGCAAGTAAATTTATTTATGATTAGATCTCCACATCTGCAATTAATTTTGTTAATTTTATTAATATATTTATGACGTAAATGTCTAGAATAATCCACCTCTTCTAGCCGCACATATTTAATGACAATTAATTTAATATCTAAACTGTTTTGTGCACAATAAATTGTTCAAAATATCATCCGAAGCAGTAATGCTTATAAATCTCGCGACATTATCTTAAAATCACAAACATTTATTATTATGTTAATCTTCGTCATTTTTTTAATTTTTAAAATGCTTGTAATAAATAAATATTCCAAAACAAGTTGTTGTTGTGCACAACAAAAACAATTTTTATTAATTGACACAAAATTCAAAACAATTTAGACCCACTTCAATGTAGCTTTGGCTGCTTTATTTTTTTTAATGCATTTTGAACCAGTTTTCCGGCGGAATTGTGTAAGAAATGCTCAGTTTTGGTAACAAATCATGGCGGCCGCTTGCTCGTTTCCTAAAACAAAAGATTGATAACCAATTTGGCGCGAGATGTGATCTTGAAAGAATTTAAATAAAATCATAATTTGAATTCCCTTAAAAACATTTTATTGGCCACTTTATTTAATAGCTCTGTGGTCTCTTTCCAATTAGTTTTAGCCCCAAAAAGGAGAATAGTTTTTATTAAAATAAGCCAGTCAGCGGAAAAAACAAAACATCTTTATTCCATAGAGGTCACCGCGCATGCATCGAATGGGGACTGTAGACAATAGACGCCGATTGATGCTGTTGACAATAGCTAATTATTATTGTTGTTGCTGCTGCGATGACGTTTAACTTATAATAATCTATAACATGGCAATTGATTTGTAATGACTTTAAAGTTTCGTGACTAACATTTTTTGCCACTATTGTGAATAACTGAAATTAAATAAATATCCACCTGATGAGGAATCAATCAAAATCTATTGATTCGTGTTTTTAAGTTTTAACAAAATTTTATATATTTTAATTTATACAGTCGATTCCGTTTTATTGCATATTGTTCTTTTTTGATGTTTATTTTTAATATGACAACATAATAGATATGAGAATCGAAAGTGAATCGTCATCGTCACTTTTGATAAAATTATGTGAGAAAACATCAAGAATAACAGAATTGAATTAGGCACGATGATAAACAATAATAGAGTTTTCCAAAAATAAATATTCAATTTATAAGAAAATAAACAAATATATCACTATATAGAATGTTCGTCAGTAAAAAGTTGTTCTATAGAATTTTCTGGAATTTTTGATATTGAATAACTGGAAATATTTCGGAATTCAATGTTTTAATTATACGAAGTGGAAAGTAGAAAACAAATATTTCACAATACGCCATAAAAATGTGGGAAGCCTAGGGTCAATATTTTTCTATCTAACTATATAGGACCCAAGGTTCCACCCTTGTGGAAAAAAGTGCAAATCCGAAATTCATTTTATTCCTTTAGATATATGACTGATATATGACAAGAAACCCAGCAAGGAAAAAAGTAAGGTCGGACGGGGCCGACTATGTATCCTAACAGACGTCGCATTTTTGAAGGACGAACTAAAATATTCAATATTTATGTGAAAACATCTCAAACTGCAACATATACTAAATTTTTAATTTGGACAGATTTGAGTCGTTTATTTTTGAAAGTTGTTTAAGCCCATTTTTTTTCTTACATTGAAATAATTAAAGGTTTGGGTTTGGTTTGTTTCAAAAATATTGTTGGGTGGTATTAATTGTATTTGTTGGTTTGGTTCCCCAAACATGATAGAATATATAACGTAATATGTTTTGTAAACTTTTTTAGAAAAATAAGATTTCTATAAAAAATAAGCGACTCATATGGAGTCGTTTGTTTACAATGGGGCAAAATTGTGTAAATCGATTTAAAGCATATCTCAATCGTACATCCGTTGATTATTTGAAGCCCAATTAACATGAAGGCGGTCGAATATCTGCATTTCTACAAAACGGTATTATTCTATGCTCAATTTTGTACGCTGTGTAAAATTTCGTGTCAATCGGACAAAAAAGAGGAGTTTGGTGCACAATTTTAACGAAACTTGTCACAGGTTTGGTTATACTAACATCAGTGCGTTTTGTATATATCGGCCATATTTTGAGTCCTTGGTGGAATCTGAACCAATTCAACGAAACTTGTCACACGTTAAGCTATACTAACTTCAGTACGCTGTGCAAAGTTTTGTGGCAATCGACCTAGCTTTAGGTCTTTGGTACACTATTATCTAAATCTGAACCGAATGCAATAAATCTTGACACACATTAGTATATACTAATATCAGTACGTTTAGCAAAATTGTGTGCCAATTGGCCTATTAATGGGCTTTGGTGCACTCTTTACTTAAACTCGGACGAAAATGTATTTGGGAGCTATATCTGAATCTGAACTTATTTGAGGAAAACTCGATACACCATAGCCTATACTAATTTCTGTGCGCTGTACAAAAATTTGAGGCAATCGGCCTAAATTTGGGTTTTTGGTGCACCATTTATCTAAAATCGGACGGTAGCTGTATATACATCTGAACCGATTTTCCCAATTTCAAAAGGGTTTGTCCTGGGGCCAAATAAATGAGCTTTCATCCAATTCGGATCATAAATGCGGTCTGTACTTTGTTTACAATTTTACATGGGCAGACAGAGGGACGGACGAACATGCATAAATTGACTCAGAAAGTAATTCTATGCAAATTCTCAAAAGAAACCATGTGCCTATCTCGTTTCCTTTTGCCTGTTAAAAATATATGCACAAATACATAATACCCTGTAGCTCAGTGCGATGAAGGGTATAAGAATATAATGATGACTTTGTATTCACCAAAAATCTAAGGACATCAAAAGAACCAGGATAGTAGAAGTGTTTTTTAGATTATGGAAAGTAATGAAAAAAATTGGTTGGGGGAGACTTGGGTATCTTCGGCAAATGCGTTTCGATATTAAGCTCTCATTAGACATCATTAGCTTTGATCCATAGGTATCGAATAAATAAGTGTCGCAAAGTTTAAAAACTCTAGCTAATAAGCTTATTTAGATGCACGGGTTTTTGTATTTATACCCTTCACCACACTGTGGTACAGGGTATAATGTCTTTGTGCATATGTTTGTAATAGGCAAAAGGAAACGAGATAGACACGTTGTTCCTTTTGGGAATATGCATAGAATCACTATCTGACCAAATGTAGTATAGGTTGCATAATGACATGTTTAATTTCATGTTAATGGACCTTCAAAAATTTGAATTCTGTTAGGATTCCATGTGTTGAATATACCCAAAGTGGTGAATGGTATCATATAGTCGGCCAGTCCAACTTTACTACTTTCCTTACTGGTTTTAAGTTGCTTTTGTAATATTTCCATTCCATTTCGTGTATAGAAAATACATTTTGGGGTATATTCGGCATTTTTAAAGTGAGGTTAATTCGGCAATATACAAAAAGTTCTATATTATTTCCTTGAAATGTTTTTGAGTTTGTCTTTTAAATAATCCTTTTATGGTCCAAAATTGCATGTATAATACCAAACGTGCTTGTATTGATGAAAATGCGATAAAAAATATTTCTGATGGAGTGTTTTAAGATGTTAACGTCGGCTTCTAGAAAATATAGCATTAAACGTCAAACATTGAGTCGCATATTAAAACAAAATTGAACCTTTACAGGATCTGAAATCAAACCAGACTGATAGCAATGATAATTACCAGGCTATGCCTATGGGTACCGAATATGCCCCATCAAATGCAGAAGCTATACCTTCTGCAAATTTATTTTTTTACAAAACTGTAAAAATATTTCCATATAATATGGCTTAACTTATAAAATATTATCCATAAACCACCAAAAAACAAAACATTGTTGGGAAAACGAATGTCAAGGTTATTGCTAGTCTAAAATTCCAGTTTTCAAATAGTCCATTAACAACGCAGAATTATTATTTAAAATATTACCGGTAAGTGGCAAGTATTTTACTCAAATTACTACAAATTTCCTCAAACAGTGAATGACTTAATTATACTTTTGGAACAAAGTAATTATTTTCATACTTATATTTTTCATTTTAGACAAAACCGGTTACGTTAAAGATGTTATTTTTAAATGAAATTTGTGTTTTTATATTTTTTTTATAAAATTCTAATTTTAAATTTGTCCGTTAAAGTGGTATGTTCAAACCAAGAATTTACTTTAATCAACAATTTCCATAGACTTTAACTAAATGTGTGAG